ACCTGGTAACCACAAGTCTGTATTCTCTGTCCATGAGTCTATTTCTGTCTTGTATTTATGCTTTGTTTTTGTTTGTTTGTTTTTGTTTTTTAGATTCCACATATGAGCGATAGTTTTTAATAACCCTCGTGAGCTTCAAATTCCAGGCAACAAAAAACTTTGTATTGTTTTTTATTTTTCAGGGATTAGAGTTCATACAGCTAAAGAACCTACTGTGTTGACTGGAACAGAACAGGATTCAACAAATAGTAACATCAGTTAAATGATAGATTAATGGTATTTGCATTTGTTTCATCTATTAGTTTTGTGTCTTTAGAGAAGGGACTATTCCACTTAGCACCTAATGCTGTTTTGAGGACAGGACTGTTGTGAGGGCCATGTGGAATGGTCCAGATGGGAGCTCTATCTGTAATGAGATATTTGCTTCAGTCATTTTTCCAGAGAATAAATAAAGAAAATGGAAAAATTGCTTTCTGATGGTGCTCTAGTTAGGGGAATCAGGATTAGGTTGGAGAGCTCCCAGTTCCATTTTCTTCAGTGGTTTTGTCTACCTTTCCTTTTACTTTTTCTTGCTTTCATTTAAACTCTAATTTCTTTTTCAAAATTCTTTTCAACCATTTTACGTTTTCAAACCTGACAGATACCAAATTGATATTCAATGTGCCATTTTTTATGCTCTTTGTTTTTTAGAACCTTCGCTGAAAATGTCATCACTCTAATTGTTAATTTAAAAAATCATTTTTCTCTGTGCTTCCTGCTGTGAAAATAGAATCTGGAACATTTTTATCTGGGGACATGGAAATACTTGACCTGTTTTTCACTTCCCCTATAATTTGAGATTCAGCTATCAAAGTCAATTTAACTCTTGATGTGGAAGTTTTTTTTATGAAGGTAAAGTTAAATTACTGGAAAGAAGAGGAACCAATTTTCTGAAATATTTCAGAAGGCTTGAATGAATTACATGCAGATGAAAGAAGTACGTGGAACCATTATAGTGTACAGAAGAAATGAGCACGTAGTGGCGATATGGGAAGTTAAGAGTGATAACAAATAATGGCAGTTACCACTTACTGACAGCTTCGTGCTTTTAGGCATTGAACTAGTAGTTTTTGTATCATTTTTTCAGGAGCTTTCGTTCCGTGAAAGGAATTTCTACATTGCTGCTCAGACTCAGAGAGTGGACCCAACATTCTGAATTCAGTAGGCTGACCTAGATTTCAAGTTTGTCACAGTATGCCCCCACTCACATTTTTCCTTGTGAAATTTGGATCCTTACTGTGCCTGTTTACTTTCCATGTCCCTCTCTCTCCAAGAAGGGAGCAATGATGTGGACTGTAGAGAATGCAGATGTTGGAGTTTAAAAGTACACCCAATTTAGGGTGCGTTCCCTGGTCTCAGTTTCTTCATCTCTAAAATGATAGTCCTACCTGCTTGTTGTAAGGATTACATTAGCCCTAGTATCTACCAGGTTCTTACCAAACATTGTTTTTTCTTTTTCCTCTGCCTTCTTCACGCTGTCTCCCCTTTCTTCCTCTTCTATGGTAAAACTGTAATCCTTTCCTTCTTGTTGTCATGGACGTTTCGTTGCTTTCCATATACCTCTTGTGCTTAGTCTGAACTTTTCTGAGTTTTTCAATCTCCTTATTCTTCTGTGGTTCTACCTACTTCTCTAAAACTCTTTCTGCCTAACTCTGCCACTCTACAAGTGAGCACCCATTCTAACCTAACCTCTAACCCCAGTCCCTCTAGGTTTTGGTCACAGGCCTGCAAGGTTTGCCCCAGATCCCAGATGCAATGCTGAAATTGCACTTGTGCTGTGTCTCAGAATTGATTTCTAATTCAGCTTGGAATTTCAACTTCACTTTTTAATGGAGACGGTATTATAAATGGTGGTTCTGTTTCTAGGCCAAAAGCCTAGAAGCAAAAGAAGCGTGTTTAACTCATAAATTGATTGAAAAATTTGATATTACAACAAAGTAAAAGGAAATAATGTCATTGTAATCTTAGTAATAAAGTAAAATGAAAACAATATTGAATAAGAAGTAGTTAATTACTTTAAACTTTGTAGAATATAGGTGATGGAAATTCTGAAAGGAGCATTCAAGTGCCTTAGTGATTGCAGTGTTTTTATATTATGGTTATGATAAAAAAAATTCACATTGTAAGGCAGAACAAGAGAAACTTAAACATAAAATTTTTCTCTGTCCGTTTGGGCATCCTCCTTCCCCTCTAGTGTGCACTGTGCATCTGCATTACGGGTTAAGCATATCCCCCCAGAGGCAGAAATAACTACTCAAGCATAAAGATCAATTTTTATTCTTCTGGCCTCAACCACGTAACTCCTTAGAAGATGATATTCCTTTCTCAATCCGTTAAGGGGTCACGATGACCCGCCACTCACCTTGTACATGCAGACGTCTCTGGGGAACTTCGTGTACAATGCCAATACATCCTTTCCTTTAAAGATAGTGATTGGTGCAGAAGAGACTGGGCAGATGAGCTGGGGAAATCGGGGAGATTCTGGGCGGCACCTAATGGAAGTTCTTAGTTTAAATACTTAACTTATGAGCTTATTAATGTTACTAGCTATATTATTTATATTCTGCCTGTATTACAACGTTACTGTTTCTTGTATTACCGAATGTGTGACTGAACCTCAAATAAATTTAGTGATGATTAAGGAGACCTGAAATGATTGACTGAGTATTTGGTACGATACGATCAGTGATTGTAATAGTGTAACTCTAGATGTGGGAAGAGGCAACAGGAGGGAAACTCTCCTAGACCATAACAGACTAGTAAGACAGGAGGTCCAGAGGCCTTTGGCTGCTGTAAACAGGGCCTAGTCCAGTAATAACACATTGAGTGGCCTATCAACAAAGTCCTCTCTGACCTGGAAATGAGTATTCCTAGTGCCATGGGACAGATTGCTCACAAAATGCCTCCCAAACCTTGGTCGAAATGAAGACCAAAAGGGAAGAGATTGTACAGAATGTTGCCCACCCTCCACTTCTATAAGAATCAAGTCATTAGCCTCTGCAGTCACTGACCCACCATACACCCTGAAAGGAGTTCAGCGCGAGGGTCAGGATGGGGCACTCTGTGCTTTGGGAAAACTGGCAGAACAGACCTTTAGACAGAAATTTTCAGGAGAAATTCTGTTGACCCAGTGTCTAAACACTAAAAACATTAACTAAGATATCTGTTCCTTGTGAATAATACTAACCTTCTACCAAGACGTGAACTTGATTGCATGTACCCTCTCTCTAAAATCTCATGTATGCAGGCCTCCCCTGTTACTCTTTGGAACCGTTTTCAGAGCTTTCTGAGAGACTGTCTCCTGGGTTATAATCTTAGTTTGGCTCAAATAAAATTTTCCATTTCTTTCTTAGATTGACTTCTGATTAATTTTTCATCAACAGTTAATTAAACTAGTTTTTTTGTCCAATGGATGTTCACTAAACTTGTGGTAATCACTTCATGATGTGTGTAAGTCAAGTTACTATGAGGTACACCTTAAACTTAGACAGGACTATATGTAAATTATATCTCAATAGGACTGGAAGAAAAAATAAAAAATAATAATATAAAAAATACTACTTGGGGGAAATTTTTTTTCCCTCATATAGAAGGTTGCAGTGAGAAAGCTAATTTATTAGCCATATATATAGTTTTTGTTCAGGTTCACAGATGAAATAATACAGAATAAGACATTTTCCACTGGGTAAGTCCATCTCCTACCTCCAAAATCCTCCTTGTGTCTTGGCTTTTTTGTTTCTTCTGTTGTTCTGAGAACTCTCCTTTTTTACTGAAATCCTTGAAACTCCTAATTTAAAACGATTCAAGACCGAAACTTAATGGTCTATGTATGCCATAAAGTAACGTTTTCAAACCACAGGTTGGGATTCGCCAGTAGGTTGTGAAATAACAACTCAGTAAGATGTAACCGGCATTAAAAAAAAGGGAAGGAATAGAAAATATATGAGTTTATCATGTGTAGTAAAGGTAAAAAGTGCCTCTTGAAATGTGTGTAGGTTTATAATATAAAAACATTTCTTACTTTGAGTGTGGTAAAAAATTTTTTAAAACCCACAGCATATAGCAAAAAAAATCATTTTCCAAATTATTTTTAGATATTTTATAGTAAACTCTTTTTTTTATGACTTTTCATAATTAAGAAAACCTTCTTACCGCCTACCTATGCATTAATAAAGACTCTCAGTGTTTGCTTACATTCGTATCTTGGATGGTGAGCGTAGGTGTTACTGGGCTGGTTCCCACTATTTTTTGTGTGTATGTTAACTTTTGAACTCCTTTGATGCCTTCATTTAAAACAAATGACTAATAATAAAAGCTAGAGCTGGAATGCAATATGACTAGACTTGATTAGTTATTTGCTAACTTAATCATCTGACATGGTTATTATAAAAGCTGTGCTTTCTACCACATTTTCCTTTTCTCACATGTTCTTGAAGTCACACAGTAAAAAAAAATATTTAATGACTAATTTACTTAAAAAAACCCTATAACACATAGTCTTTTTTCTTACATCAAAATATTTTTCATCTGGATTTTTCTCATTTTATCTGAAATTCACTTTGTTGTAATAAATAAATTGCCCTGATTAATATCTTTGGTTTAGAGTCACAATAGTTACATATTCATCCAAGTACAAGAATTTGGTATTTTAATAATAATGAATACATTTGTTTTGAAATTTTGTCTTTGTGTGTGGTATATGTAGAACATGGTATAAGCAGTCATTTACCTTTTTACTAAGTGCCTGTCTTTCAGGCAAAAAAGAAAACTGTGTAAATCTCTTTAGGTTTGGGAATTATTTCAGTTAGAGGATCAGGATGACCTCTCTTTTAACCTTTTAAACGAACAGGTCTATCTCTATCTTTGGGTGACAAAATGCAAGTTATGATTTTTTTTAGTTCCCTATATTGTACCCATGGTAGAATGTGAATATTAAAAACTTGTAAAAATTAGTGGGAGTTTTTCCAGTGCTTGAAGGATAATCTCATAATAGATCATTATTCACATTCCATAATTTTAGCTTAAATGTTTCCATGAATAACTTTTTTTTATTGAAGTACAGTCAATTACAATGTGTCAGTCTCTGGTTTATAGCACAATGTCCCAGTCATGCATGTACATACATACATTTGTTTTCATATTTTTTCTATTAAAGGTTATTACAAGATATTGAACGTAGTTCCTGTGCTATACAAAAGAAACTTTTTTTGAAATCTGTTTTTGTGTATAGTAGCTAACATTTATAAATCCGAAACTCCCAATTTTATCCCCTTTCACCCACTTTCCCCAGTAACCATAAGATTGTTTACTAAGTCTGCAAGTCTGTTCATGAATAACTCTTTATTCCTTCTCATAACTATGCAATCTGTTGGCATAGGTTGGCTCATGAATTAATGTATTCATTTGAAAAATGTTGTTTCTTAAATCATTAGCTGGAAAACAGTCCTTGACCATTGTAATGGAAATAGAACTTTACCTTGAATGGTCAGTATCTGACCAAGGACAAAGAAATTGCTGTTGTCTGCTTCCCTCTCTGACCTTGTTTGTTATATTTTCCTAATGAATGACAGGTAGTGGTGTCTTAGTCACTTCCCTTTCCCGTTTAATGCTTCATGCTGTAATAATTCCCCAGTACACTTTTCCACTTTGCTTTCCTAAAATCATAATGTTAGGGTTGGCCCTGAATTTTTTCCCTTTCACCTGTTATATTTTGCAAATGAAGAAACTGAGACAGATTAGGTGACCTGATTGACATTGTTGAGCTACTTAATGTATAATAGCGACAAGACATCGAGTCTTGTGTCCACTTTGACCTGACAGGAAATCAGTGCCAGATAAGTATTTGTTCAACCAACCTAACTCTTCCCACTATACCATTCTTTAGGTGAGATGTTATTTCTGCATTCAGTCTTCATAATAACTTGGCCAAGATCACATTGTTAAAATAATGACCTTGATCCTCTCCAGTAAATCTTGCATGACTCTAAAAGCAGGTCTGCCCCTAACAAAAGGACCTGAAACCATGTTTGAACAGAAAATTTTCCTATTGTTCCATTCTTTAGCAGTTATTTTCTTAAATGTTGCTGCCCATAGTAATTAACTATGTTTAAAGTTATGCTTTTCCTCTGAGTCTACAAAGGAATCTTGTGCTTCTCTTATGATACAGGGTTTTTCAGAAACTCTTGATGAGTTCATTTGTTCCTTTTGCTTACCCTTAAATGAGAAGAATTCTACCTAGCTTCAATATTTGATAAAAGATAAGGGTATACAGTTGGACTGTAGTTATTGGTGCAGTTGTGGGCTGGTTAAAGAGTGTAGCTCCAGCACAATTTCTGGTGTCTAGCAGGAATTTTTATAGTTTAGCCCTGGTCCAATGTGAGGTTTGTAAGTTAGATGACTATAAAAGAATAATTTGTGCTGGTGATTCTAAGGGTGCTTTTGTTTTGTCTATGACCAGAGTAACGGTATAGAAAACTCCCATTTCTATGGAGAATGAACTGCTTCTGGGGCTCTTGCCATCTGCAGCCTGTCCACTGTGTGGACTTTACTTACTGCCATCTAACATATCCCTGCCCATCTACCTTCAGCCTTATATTCTATGATTTGCCGGTTTTGAACATATGCACAAAGTGAGGTGGTTGATGTGGGCTGGACGAGGGTGGGACTGGTTCTCCTGGGGAGATTGCAGAAGGCAGACAAACTGGAGGAAAGAAGAAAATTGCTTGGGCAAACAATAGTGTTTCTTAATTCAGAAGTATCTGGGCTATAGGTAATAGAAATATTGTTTCTTGCAATTGGTTGCTATCCTTAGTTTTCAGGGTTGCAAATTAAATTTTCTACTGTGTCATTATGATTAGTTTAATAAGAAGTTGGGAGAAATCATACCAGAGATTTATTCAGGTGATGATATTTAAATACAGAAGAAACATTTCTTATTTGTTCTTTAAATTTTTCAGGATGAAGTAGAATAAGACCTTTTGCTTTTATTGGATCATTTTATTACTTCCCAATCACGCTAATGAACACTAACATTTATTATCTTCCTAGTCAGACTTTGACTGTATTAAATTTTACTAAAACAGTTTGGAAAGGAGGGTTTTCGTTTCTTTATTTTTCCGGTAAGGAAGGAGACTTAAGTGATTTGCTTAAAATTTCAGTTGGTAATTGGGAGAGCTGAGATTCAAATCCAGGTCAGACTGTACCTATGACATTCTTTATATTACCTGTTTTTGAGATTGTGGTTAAACAGATTTTTGAGAGCAAGTAGCCATCTAGACTTACTATCCTGTGGTATGAAAGTTTTATGTTTTAATTATATGTGAAAATAATGTGCTTTTAATCTTCTTTTTGAGATGGTAGTTCCTGGATATACACTTGGTGCCTTCATACTTCTGTTGCATGTTAAATCTGTGGCTAATTATCCCAATGGAAGGGTAACGAAGTCGTGCCATGGGATGATACCTGAACATGGTCACACCCACAGTCTGACCCTGCTCACAACATTTCAGTGAGTCAGATGACATTCAAGCCAGGAGATCAGATCAAAGGTACTGTGCTGATACTAACTATTTACATTTTGAATTTCACTCTTTTATTGTGCATTGATTCTTTATTATTACTGGATTTATACAGTTTCATTTAAATATGTTCATCTGTTTTCATAAGATGCCATGATCTTATACTTCTCATTTTTGTGTTTAACTCCTACAGATGTCTATATTACTTAAATAGTATACCTACCACCAATTCAGAATCGCTTTTAAAAAATGTTTTCATCATTATTTAATATATCTTCATTTACATTACTATTTACTCAATTGCAGAGGAAAGTAAAGTTTATCTGGCCTAAAGTATTAAACCCTTATCCTTTTTGATATAGTATAATCTCATGTGTTTCCCTAATTCTTCCAGCAGAATGTAGGCTGACTGTTAAAGGTGTGTCTGTAACAGCATTTTACAAAGTCTATTTCCTGCAGCTTTAGAAATGCGACATATTAACTGATACGCTCTAACAAAAAGGATGTATGGAAAAAATAAGTCTGGAATGCCCTGTGGGTTATATATATTATGCTTGGGGTTTCATTCTGCAAAGTAGGATGTTAAAGGCCCTGAGGGGTTTGCAGTAAAGACATAAGCATTTACTTTCATCCAGCATTTTTCAAATACGTTGGCCTCATGGGCCATGCCCTGACCATAACCTACCTTTTCTTCCCTGTGGAATTAGATCTCATGGAATAATATCCTGTGGGACACAGTTTAGAATTTCTTTGTCTAGGGGAAGATTCCTCCCCTTCTCTCCTGGAGTAGCTCTGCGTACGTACACCTGCTTCGGTGATATACCTCCTCTGAGCAGTTTTCTGGGAGGTTGTTGCTAAGCCTCTTATGTTTTTGTTTGTTTCTCAGTTACTTTGTCAGGGCCACCCTTTAAAGGCTTTCTCTTAGAAGCACGTAACGCTGAGGATTTGAGTGGCCCTCCTGTCGGCTCCTTCACACTGATTGACAGTCAAATGTCACAGCTTCTGACCTGTGAAGACACACAGGTTTGTGTTTCATTTGAAACTAATTTCTGTCAGTTTCCATAGGTCTTTTCACTCCAGGAAGGTGTTTGCAAGACAAACAGTGACATTACCCATGTCCTGCAGACATTTGGATAGATTCACGAGGATCAGACTTTTCCACCTAATTTTCTACTGGCAACGTATTTTCACACATCAGTGTCCTAGAAAAGATGGGATCATAGCTTGAAGTTTATAGCTTTTGGTATTTTATGTAATATTGACTTTTATTTATATTTTATTGTATTGAATTTTGGAGGGTGTTAATATTGAAGGTTTCTAGAATGGAATAGAGGCCTAATTTTTGTAATTGATTCATTAGTGCAATGAA